TCTTTCTGGGGTGAGATGATATCTCAATGTTGTTTTAATTTGCATTTCATGAATGGCTAGTGATGTGGAACATTTTTTCATATATTTATTCGCTTCTTTAATTTCATGCTCTGAAAAGTGTGTGTTCATCTCAGATGCCCATGAAATAACATTTTAAACAAGTGAAAAGGTTCATTTAGAAAAACAAAACAAGGATGTGGCCAATGGCCTGTTTGCTAAGGAGATTAGGACAGATGCAGCCTTCATGACAAGGGAGGGCAGATGCCCAAGACATTCAGAATTCTTTAAAGAAGTCACTTTATGGAGCTTTGAAGGCCACTATTCCCATTACAAGCCCAGAACTCTAGGAATGCAAACTGGCTTCACATCACAGGCTCAGGACTCCTCCGTGGCTTGCTGCCTGAGCCTGCCTTCACCTCTGCTCTCCATAGTTCTGTGCTCCTCTCTCCAGGTGCTGCAGCTGAGACCCAGGTGTAGCTGAGGCCACCGCCCCAGCAGGCACACACCACCTCCCCTGGGAGGTCTCATGGTGCTCCTTATGCAGGCTTGCTGAATGCCAGAGCTGTCAGAACCTGGCTCCCTTGACTTCAACTTCAAAGGATGTGGCAAACACACTCTGATACTCCCAAAGTTGGATTCCCTGAGAGAGACCTGCTTTAGGGCACTGCCCTGTAGAAGTAAGGAAACTCTTAAGTCCCCAGACACACGTAGTTTTGACCTGGGAAGACTGATCCTCCTGTGTCTCTCACCCAGGTGACCAGAGTTTCTAGAAGACCATCCTTTATAGGAACTGATAGTGATTCTCCAGGCAGGGTGGTACTCTTCTGTGCTCCCAGCATTTGGGAGGCTGAGGCACGAGCTTGGAGACCAACCTGAACTACATAGGGGGCGCTATGTAATAAAAACAATTTATACTGATTCATAGAAAAGTGAATTTGCACTGATTTGTATTACCCCAAAGTGGTATTGGTTTGAGGTAAGGGAAAAGAAAGAGTGTGTTATGTTCTTATAACTGCATTATAATAAAAATGTACCTCGTATCATTTTAATCAGCAGCCTGTTAGATAGAGTGCTCCTTTAGCCCATCTCCACCTCTACCTCTGCCATTTACTTACTGCATGTCTGCTGAACTGCCCTCTCCTGTGGGTGTATCTCCGTTTCCTCACTTAAAAAATGGGGATGAGGACAATAACTCCTTTAGGGAGTGGCTGGGACTGAGGTTGAAATCTGAGCCTGTAGAAGGCATTAAGAACCGTTCCTAGTGACTCATCCACATGGCTGACACTGACAAAGGTTCTACAATCTGAGGTACAGGATCTCAGGATAAATCCTGAGGGGATCTCACTGACCTTATCA